ATTTTAGATACAATAAGTACATTTTAAATAGACTTTTCAAATGAATTATAAGGTACTTTATAAACTATTAGTTCACCATTTGAGTCAATGATTTACTCTTTAGATTGCTTTTTATCAAGTACTTTCTCATATGAAATACATTATGCAAGAATGATTTGGGAATTAATCACACCTTTCTTTTATACTAGCTTCTTCTTTTTAATTTACTTTATTGCCTTCAAAATTGGATATGCTATTTTCAATAAAAGTGTCATAACAACTACACTCATTTATATCTACATCTATTTATAACCAACATTAATTGGTGGATTGATGCTATTGGTTTCCTTTAGGGAGGTCTCAGATTATAAATGGATTTCTGCAAATGTATCTTAGAGGTATGACACAGAAATCCATAAATTATGGATGTTTAGATTTTGTATACCTACACTTCTTTTATTTTCCATTGTAATACCACTCTATTTATTAATTGGGCTTTACAAAAATAAAGATAAATTTAATAAAAAATTGGTGCGATAAAGTTGGGGTTATTTGTACATAGAATATCGATATTTAACCTTTTATTGGGAAATAGTTAAAATATTTTAGAGAGAATTAATTATCCTCTCTTTAACATATTTTGAAGATAGTATTCTCATCAAAGCAATAATTGTGGTTTTGATTTTAATCCTTTACTTAGAGTTGAACAAAAAATTTAAACCCTATAATCTAAATTATTTAAACTAGTTGGATTATTTTTTAACAAACACTTGTATAATTTCAATCAATTTGGGAATAGGATGCTACTTCTCATAATATTCAGGCTCAACAGAACTCTCATATATATTTATCTTAGTCTTATTGTTCTTAAATATTTATTCAATTTCATATCTACTATTGAAAATTATCAAAGAATTTTTAAGATAATAAATTAATGAATTAGAGTAAAAACTGAATGTATTTAAAATAAAGTTAGCAAGGTTTTTTCCATGTTTAATGAAATATAATATTATTTAAAAATTATTAAGAAATCATAAAGAAAAATAAGTAAGGTAGAAGTATTTAATTAAAAAATTAAAAACATATCTTTTGAAAATTGCTAAAAAAATTATCATCATCAAAAATTAAGAAAAGTATAATTGTTTTCAACCTGAAAATAATTGTGAATAATTATTAGATTCTAGAACAATTACTCCCATCATATCTTCTTCTGAAAAGAATCTGTGTAAACATCATTTGGTTAAAACTAATTCTCTGATAGCGTTATAATAATAAAGAATTAGTATATAAATTCTTGACTAAAAGTATTCTTTTTTTATTAATTTAAGACCTACATTGTTATTAAATATTAATGCTAATGATACAATATCTGGAAGATAAAATTGAATTTTTATTGATAAACTAAAACATGATTAAATATTTGGATAAATCAAGTTATTTAATATAATTATATATATATATTCTTCATAAAATCTACTAATTTCTTATTATTGATAGATATTAAATATAGTTAGAGAATATGGCATTAAAATTCATTTAAATATTTTACTAAGTAGAATATTTATTAAGACATAAATATATTTTATCAGTGAAATTCTATTAATAATAGTATTTGTTAAAGAATAATAAGTTTTCTATAAAGTATTATTTGTTATTTAAAAAAATGTCAACTGAAGATGCGGTTTTTTAATCATAAACATTAGATAAAAGAATTGACCTCGAATTTGAACAAGATGAAAAGGTTATAATTATAGAAATTAATCCTCAAAAAGTGTTAAAGGAATTCTTTGCATAATTTCAGCTATTGAATAGAATTATTGTCAGATATCTAAATTATTCTCTATAAACTTGTTTGGAAATCTAGTACGGAAGAAATTAATTATTAATTTCATCTCAAGACTCTAGAGTATTATTGGAAGATTAAAAAATTGTGATGTAAAAAAACAAATTAGATTAAATAGTGGATACTTAAGGTATATGGATATATTTGAATAAAAAAACTTTAAATTTGAATATTGGATATGGGGAAGCTAGAAAAGAAACAATAGTAGCTCATTATATAATGGAATCAGTCCAAAATAGTATAAAATCAATCAAATAAATTACAATATGGTAAGAATCGATTCCCTTAAACTTCTTACCTTAAATTATATCCAGTTAAAAAGGAGAGCTAAAGCCAATAAGGATTCACACAAAAGATCATTTTATTCCCACACTAAGTTCTGTTATCTTATAAAAATGCTAAAATATTTTTGATTTGAATCAAGGGAAGTAAGCAAAGAATTTAGCTTCAGAAATAGACGATTTATATTAATAAGCAAGTTAAATTGAATTGCATTAAATAGAATATTTTGAATCTGGTTAATAAGTTTAGGGAGTAGCTAAATTTAATTTAGGAGACTTAATTCATCATAGTGTTACAATTGAAGGATGCAAATTGAACTAAATACTAAAAAATAAATAGGAAACTACTCAAAAAAATGGTTTAGATCCTTTAATGACTTACATAAGATTGGGATTAGGCCATTTTAATAAAGATTCTGCAGGACATTAATTTGTCTTAGAAATTTGGCCATTTAAACATTATTCATCTATTCATGATCATGCAGGATAATATGGAATAGTAAAGGTTTTATAAGGAATAATTAATGTAAAAATTTATGCCATTTTATCAAATGCCAAACATTTGATGAATCCTATAAAGTCATTAACATGTAATCAGAATGATATGACATGGTTGTCACCTAAATTAAATTAGGTTCATTAACTAAATAATTTCTATCCATAAACAGCAATAACATTATAATGTTATAAATATTCTAAAAAATCCTAAGAAAAAATTAAACAGTTTTCCAGATATAGATTTGCTTACTATTTTTAAAGAATTAGTTGAAGAGTATTCTAATTTGTATACAAAAAAATGATTAAGTTAATTATTTAATTTAAATCTAATAAAATAAATTCATTCGAAGATGGAAATCATCTTTTTGGTTCTTTTCTCTCTTTTAATAATTTCTGTGGATTATTTGAATTATTTTCATTTGGTTTTAGCATTATCAAAAACTTATGAATCTTTTCAAAATTTCTAATTTTACTTTCACTCAAAATCATTTTTCAAGTTTAGAAACAGAAATTAAGCCATCTGCTGTTGTTAATAATTAAGAATTCTTATTTTATTCAATTCCTCTCTTTTACTATTGAAATTAACAGTTCAAAGCTAGTTGCATATAATTTTAGTAGATAAAAATTTCTTTTGATCCTCAACATAAATGATTACTTAGAATAAAGTTTTTGGAATAAAGAAGACAAATGAATCTTCTACAGCATCTATATTTTCAGTTCTTTTTATTAATTGAAGTTCTTCAATTCTTTAAATTTAATAAAATTCTAATAGCCTTAAATTATAAAGGAATTCTTTAATGAGTAGTGATTATTTCTTCTCCCATTCTTTATCTCCCATCTATTAAATTCTTCCAGATCAACAAAAACATTTTT